TCTCTACAGCCTACCAAAGGTGACATAGACAATCCTTTACAAGAGACTTCCCGTTATTTCTCTTCAACCTGGCTCCTATCTATTCAGATTTAGAGATCTCTCACTTTCAACAAGGGGCCTCCAAGAAGAACTCATGGTGGTTTGTAGATAATAAACTAATATTCCCCTCTTCTAAGTTACCTTTCTAAGAAACTTCCCCACTCAATATCATTCAAACCTAAACTCTCTTCTTCATTTTCTAAAATCAAACATACACCTGATTCCCACTATAAGGGAGACTCTATGTACCATATCTCAGAAATTTAGAATCTGTAATACTGTTAATCCCAGCTCCATTATCAGACCACTCACATTCACTATTCACCAGGCCCGCAGACTGCTCCTGGGAGAGGACTGGAAGATTGACTTCACCCATATGCAACCAGTTAAACAGCTATGTTACCTTCTGGTTTTGGTGGACATCTTCTCGGGTTGGGTGCAGGCTTTTCCCATTACCAACAAAAGAGTCACCACTGTTTCTATTGTACTATTAAGAGATATTATTCCCAGGTTTGGACTCCCTGCATCCAATCAGATAATGGACCACAATTTACCTCCTAAATTACTCAACTAGTATCAACCTCTCTCTATGTCTCATAGCATTTCCACATTCCTTATCATCTCCTCTCTTCAGGAAAAGTAGAATGGATGAATGAAACTTTAAAACAAGTGCTGACAAAACTCTCAGTCCAAGTCCACCTAGACTGGATAAAACTCCATCTTTTAGCCTTATTATGAATTAGATCTCAGGGCCAGCATTGTGGCATAGCAGATAAAGCCACCACCTGCAGCGCTGGCAAGCCATGTAAGTGTCAGTTCGAGGTCTAGCTGCTCTACTTCTGATCCAGCTCTCTGCTAATGTGCCTGGGAAAACAGCAGAAAATGGCCAAAGTCCAAGGGGCCCTCACACATGTGGGAGACCTGGAAGATTCTTCTGACCCTGGCTTCGGCCTGGCCCAGCCCTGGCCTTTGTGGCCATTTGGGGAGTAAACCAGCATATGGAAGATTGATCTCTCTCTCTCTCTCTCTTTCCCTTTGTGTAACTCTAACTTTAAAATAAATAAATAAATCTTTTTTAAAAAACAAAAAAATTAGATCTCTTCCCCAGAAACCATTAATGCTCAATCCATTTAAAATTTTCTAAGGGGAGATATCTTCTCACATCAGACTTTCCTCTCCTCCATAAGTTTGAAGCCGTTTCTTTTCTTTTTACCTTCCCTTTTCTCAATGAAATACGCTCTTATTTATGGACCTATGCAGACATACATCTACCCAAGCAATATCCTCTACCTTCTGGACTATATTTCCACCTTTCAACCCAGTGACTGGGTCTATCTGAAACAAAATGAGGCTGCTTTAAAGCCAAAATAGAATGGACCCTATTAAGTGATATTGTCCCTATCATTGCTAAACTCAAGGGACACCCTCCCTAGGTACATTTCATGTCATTAAAATTAGTAACGTCTTCCCTACACACCTCTGCTCCCACAGGGCCCACAACTCTCAGGTTGACATGGGTACCTACACTACAGAAAGAACTGCCTCCTCATGCCCCTGACAATTTCTGAATCTATAAATCCCTCCAAGTAATTCTCTAAGAATTACAGTCTACCACCATCTCAGGAGTTGGCCCTACCTAAAGTTTGAGAGCACCTATGCCTGACAAGTCTGAAAAGCTCCCACAAACCAGTTCAGTCCCAGCTAACGCCCACCCATCCATAACCAAAAGCAGCCCTGACTATATAAACTCCTAGTCTGTATTAGTCTCAGTAATGGGTCCCTCTCAGGTTTGTCTCTGAATAAACCTGCTCCAGCTGTTGAGTTCATGGTCTGTGTCCTCTTTTTCTTGTTCTTTTACTCTAACAATTAGTTACAGTGGTGGTGGTTTCTGCTTTCTTTGGCCCTTTTCTATCTGTAGAACTAACCTCCTTTGCTCAGCCTTTTGGAATACTTATTCTATTTTATAGAATGATATGAGGCTCTAGAAAAAATTAAAAATAAAGCTAATTAATTAAATTGTGTTTTTGTCCTCTCACAGTACTCTCCAACCCAGGAGGTGGAGTTTTAATTCCCTTATCTTTTGAGTGTTGGCTGGATTTAATGACCCAGTTCCCAAGACTAGATATGGAAAGAGGAAATGACTAATTTTTGAAAAAAAAAAAAAAAAAGATTTGGGGAGTTGAAAGGTACAGGGGAGGAAGGAGGGTGGGCGGGTGGGGCGGCGGGAGCCAGGGAAAGAGATTTTCTATCCACTGGTTTATTCCCCAAATGTCTGCAACAGCCAGGGGTGGGGCAGGCTGAAGCCAGGAGCTAGAACTCTATCGAGTTCTCCCACATAGTGGCAGGAACCCAAGTACTTGGGTCATCACCTGCCAATTTCTGAGCACATTAGCTGGAATTTGGATTGGAAATGCTGAGAGGCCAGGGCTCAGATAAGGCCCTCCAATATGGGATGTGGGCATTCCAAGTGTTGGCTTGGCCTTCTGTGCCACAATGCCCACCCCAGAAAATATTAATTTTGCAGGGAAAAATCTGGTAGGTGCTACCTTAACCAAATGATCAACATTACCAATGACAAGTCATATTAATGTCATGTATGATGCTGGATATGTTGAAAGGTTCCTCATCCTGTAGCACTGTCCCCTAAAATCCACAACTCCAATATTTTAAATATTTATTTATGTGAAAGACAGTTACATAGAGGGAGAGATAGAGGGAGAGAATGAGCAATCATCCATCTGCTGGTTCACTCCGCAAGTGGCTGGGACTGTGCCAGGCTGAAGCTAGGAGCCAGGAGGTTCATTCAGGTCTTGCATGTGGGTGCAGTCCCCAAGCACTTGGCTTATCTTCTGCTGCTTTCCCAGGTTCATTAGCAGGGAGCTGGATTGCAAGTGGAGCAGCCAGGTCTCAAACCAGCAAATATATGGGATGCTGGCATTGCAGGCAAGAGGCTTAGCTTGCTACATCACAATGCCGACACCCATAACCCCAGGTTAGTGGTGGTAGAAATAAAATATGTAAAAAGGTTAATATAAGGGCAATTCAGGGCAGAATACAAGTGACAGAGGCCCAGGAGAACAAGCCCAACAAGTGTCAAGGAATCTAGGGACAGGTACCAAAGTGACCAAATTCTAGTCAGGATCTATGCATTCCATGAGGGTTACACACTTAAATTGGCTTGGCCTGAAAAGGTGGGCTCTCAGGTTTGGATTTGGAATTTCTTACTGGTTCAAGACTAGAATATGATTGGCTACACTTTCAGAGTCAGGGAGGATATTGTATTTGGAAACAGATGTTTGAAAAGAAGGCTATTGATATATTTTAAGGAGGACATTTCTGGGACTAGATAAGGAAAGCACAGAGAAAGAACAAAGGACTGCTTAAGGTTGCTCCAGAAGGCTAAGAGAAAACAGATCCTTTGTGCACATCACCCAAGTTCAAACTGACCTGGTAGATAAGATTAAGATTCGGAGCTGTGTCTAGACATTCCTCAAGTCTCGGGAGGTGTTTCTCTTGAATGCCCTGCAGGATTTTTAGGGCACTTCTTTCACACTGGTTATGAGAAAATACCAAATTTCAAACAAGGACCATTCTACCAAATGCCCCAAGAAAGAATTCATAACCAAGCTGAATAGCTAACGCAAGCATCAAGTGGTGTTTTCTGTTGTTGTTTTCTTTTTTAAAGATTTATATATTTTATTTGGAAGGCAGAGTTACAGAGAGAGGGAGAGAGGGAAACAGAGATCTTCCATCCACTGGTTTACTCCCCAAATGGCCATAACATCCAGAGGTTGGCCAGACCAAAGCCAGGAGTCAGGAGCTTCTTCCAGGTCTCCACATGGGTGCAGGGGCCTAAGCATTTGGGCCATCTTCTGCTGCTTTTGTATGTGCCTTAGCAGGCAGCTGGATCAGAAGTGGAGCAGCCAGCACTCAAACTGGAACCTATAAGGGTTACTGGCACAGCAGGAAAAAGCTTTACCCACTAAGCCACAACACCAGCCATCAAGCATCAAGTGTTTTACTGAGAAAGTTGAAGTACACACTGAAGAGTGGGAGATCCCTGAGGGCAGTGGCCCCTTCTCTTAACTGAGTTTAATATTATATGGTTGTTTAATGAAGAGAAGATGCATGCTAAGAAAGGGGAGGAATGTTCACGGCTTTTCGGTGAAGGTGGAGATTTCCCAGAATCCAGCTATACCACTCCTTTTTGTTCTTCATTTGCTCTGGTATTTCCTGTCATGGTGACTAGTAGGCATATCATTTAGCATACTGATATCACAATGAACATATAATGAGCTGAGGGTCAATTTAGGTCCGCCTTGGCCTCTAAACTGGCATGAACCTGGTCCAGGCAGGAGGTCTGCTTTGTCTCCAGGACAAGAGGAACCACATCCATACTCTACTGGCTTTAAGGTAACAGGAATTACCCCCACGTGACTCACTTGCTCCCTGTCTCTGTCCTACAGGGACTCTCTATGCTATCTTTGTAACATTTCAGTAAGTCTACAATTATTTCCAAATAAAACAGCTGTTGAGGTGGGCATGTGGTGTAGCAATTGTCACTGGGGACTTCTGCATCCCTCACTGGAATGCCTGGTTCAAGTCCCAGCTACTAGGCTTTTGATTTTAGCTTCCTGCTAAGGCTATCCAATGGAGGCACTGGGTGATGGCTCAATACTTGAATCTCTGACAGGTGAGAGACCTGAATTGAGATCTGGGCTCCTGGTGTTGGCCTGGACCAGCTCTGGCTGTTGGGGGAGCATTTCTGAGTGCATTTGTTGTGGGCATTCCAATCAGCAGATGGAGGATGTCTCTGTGTCTTTCAAATAAGATGAAAATAAATACAAATTTAAACAATATGTTTTTCTTATTTTATTTGAAAGTGGAGGAGCCAGTACTCAAAGCAGGCACACTGATAAAGAGATGTAGGCATCCCCAGTGGCAACTTTATCAGTGGGCCAAACACCAGCTCCTTTTTTTTTTTTTTTTAAATGTAGATTTTTGGCCTTAATCCTATAATTACTGGTTCACTAAATACAGGCTGGGTCCCAAGAATCTGTGCTTTGGGTGACTTAGCCTCAGGGAGACCTTAACACAACTTGATGCTTTCTGTCACTTTTTTTCTTGCCATTCTAAACTTCCCTGTAGTAAACACAAGTATGTGCGAAAAGGCTATTGGCTTTTTTTGTTTCAGGTAATATCTATTTATTTAGGCTTTTATGCAGTGTTCTCACCCATCAGTAGTTTTACCTGAAGCATGACATTCAAGATTCCTCCTTTTAAATACACATCAATCAATTCTCAAGTGGAATTTTCCATGCTTGGTTCGCTTACTTTGTTATTTAAAGTTAACAAAAGGCCTTAGAAGTTTTGGCTTTGGTACTGGTGAAATCTGATGCTAAGATTAAATGTTGCTAGGTAACAAACTGAGTGGTCAAATGCTATGCAGTTTATTGCTAAATAGTTACCTATCACCATCCATTCTTTCCTCCTTTCGTGAACACCCTGATTTTTGGCTGAGCCCATGGCCACCTAGAATATATTTTTCATCTTTCCTTCACCTAAGCATCTTCAGAAAGCTATATTTTAGCTAGCAGGAGGTAGGCAGAAGTGAGAAATGTAACTTCTACAGAAATGTCCTTAAAGGAAACAAATGTGCCTTCTGCTGATGGGAATGTGGGTATGACAGCTGGAATTTGAGCAGTCAGTGTGGCCAACAGCCGCCCATGTCATCATTAGGATGGGGGGAGCAGCAGGCTAGAAGTCTGGACATCTGACACCATGCAGCCCAAGCCCTGGACTGCCTATCTCCAAGTTGCTTTTGTATGAGAGAAACAGACTTCTAATTTCAGTTCCTGTTATTTTGGACTTGTTACTACTTGTAGCCAAACCCAACATGAACTGACACAAGTGGTCACACAGAGGTTAGAGCTGTGCAGAATGGAAGCACACTGCGTCAAAGCACCCGGGCTAGGGGAGTAAATGAGGGCTTAAATGCAGTCTTCTCTTTCCAGCTGTGCTCACCAAGAAGCCGACATAACAAGTGGCCCTGCAGGAGAGTGTAATTTTGTCTGGTGTCTGGATTCTGCAGGAAAGGTTTCCAAAATACCATCTGCATACTTCTGAAGGCAGATAGAGATGGCTTTAGGTAGTTCCCAGGTTAACTTAAAATATTTTAATATAATTAAGTGGGTTTATATATAAGGGTAGTTGGCACTTTACTCTGTAAGTTCATACCTCATTGCTAAGAAAAAATGAGTTGGTCAAGGGACAGAAATGACAGAAAACACACGTTCATCAGGCAGTATTGCAGGGTGGGCTTGAGTGCAGCTTTGGCACCAAACTGCCTATGTTCAAACCCTGTCTTTCAGAGTGCTTAGCTGTGCTATTATGGAAAAAAGTTTCTTAACCTCACTGTGTATCAATTTTTAAAACAGCACTTGACACACAAGGAGGCTGTGAAGAATTAAGCACTTATTACAGTGTCTGGCATGTAAACAGCACTCAGTAAATGTAAGATATTGCTATCTTTCTGGGAATCACTTAGTGAAGACAACAAGAACTAGCACCGTGCAGCCACAATTCGTCTTAAGCTCACTCTGTGCCAGGAACTGCACACAGGTGACCTTATATTACTTACGAGAAAGCTAAAGCTTAGAAGGGTTCACTGACTTTCCCAAGGTTATAAACACAATTCTTGCCCAGCTAGAATTCAAACTCAGGCTGCCATGATTTCCACAAAGTCACCCTTGTAAGATGACTGAGGTGGAAGACAAGGCCTGCACTTTTTCATAAGCTTCCTCCTGCACAGTCCCTCAACTTCCCCCACTCAGAGTCTGTGTAAGCAAACTCTTTAACACTATAAGGGTATAGATGGAAGTGGAGACTGAGTCACAGCTGGGAGGATGGGGGCATTCTTGGGAAGGGGGGGGCGGGCAAGCCGGGAGAGTACTCAGCCTGAAACCGGTGGCAGAGACTGCAAGAGCAGAAGCTGGCTGACTATATATTAACGCCTTTTTCATACAAAGCTGCCTCTCAAGGTTAAGTCTCAATGCAATTATGCAGTGCTTCTAAAACGCTGCTCCTATGTAACCCACAAAATGGATCCTGCAATTTTGTGATTTTTGTTTCCAAATTCTCACTCATTGGACGGCTTTGAAGTAAGAAAGGATGTCATTTTAAACCGCTGCTTCACATGAAACCCACTCACTTGTAAAAGCATGACATCTTCGTCGTAGCTCCAGCAACACCGCGATCAAAATTTCAAGGTGTTGCAAATTGACTTTGGTTTTTGCCAATTAAGTAGAAAAGTTAACTTTAACAGTTTCTAGTACAACTTTGTCTCTGTTTTTAAGACAGGAAAAAGTCCTGTAACTATGTTTATCTTTCCCAAGGAACTTTATTCGTTCATAAAAGTTAACTGAACGTGAGCAAAAGGGAGCAAAGTCAAATCGCCAAGTCCAACAACCGGGTGGCAAAGCCTTGACGTTCCCGGGGTCTAGAGAAAACCAACACCAGCCAAGCACACCCCCCCGTGCACTTTTACCTGAGTGGGTGACACAGGCCTAGCCCAGCCACCCCCGCTGCACGAGCTGGCTCGTGGATACCGCCCAGCACTCTGTCCCGAGGGCGGCTGAGTCACCCCGCCGCCCACGACGCCTGGAAGAGCTCCCAGACGCCGCGGCCTGCTCGCCGGGGACGGCTCCAGCGGTGTCGGAGCCTCCGTCCACGCCGCGAGCTCCCACGCCTGCAGCCGGTCTCGAAAGTCCCCACCAGCCACCGCCTCCCGCCCCGACCCTCCTCCCGCCAGGAGTGCGATGGAATCCAGCTCCGACCGGCATTCCCGCCCCCTCGCCGCCGCCTTGGATCCGCTCACCGCTTCCGACGACAACGGGAAAATCGGTCGCTCGGGACCCTGCAGTCCCCGCCGGCAACCGAACTGGCGCGTCCCCTTGGCGGCGCATGCGCCCGGGGGCCGGCTGCGGGAGGTGGGAGGGGGAGGTCCGGTCTCCGATGACGTGGCGCAGCGGAGGCGGAGCCGAGGCCCGTGGCGGGAGGGTGGGGGAGGAAGAGCGAGGTGAGCGCGGACGTCAGAGTGGAGAGCGGAAGGTCAGGGAGGCTCGGAGCGGAAGTGAGACCAGGGAGCCTGTCCGCCATTGTGGACCCGAGAAGCGGAGAGCGAGACGGAGAAGAGGAGCGTGCAAGCGGGAAAGACGGGTCCTTTCCGCCGACTCCCGAGCGCGAGGCCCTCCTTTTGGCTTTTCAGCGAGCGGCGGCAGCGGCGGCGGCTGGAACAATCACTAGGCCGAGGGCGGCAGCCAACTGCTGTGAGTGCACGGGGAGAGGCCCAGGCGGCGGCGGCGGCGGCGGCTCCTCTCGGGTTGCGGTGAAGAATGTCAGCCACTAGCGTGGATCAGGTGAGGGAGAGCAGAGGCCCCAGGCTCGGCGAAGGCCCGAGCCCTGGAGCTCCACCCTCGCGTGGGGCTTGGGCTCCTCCCCGTCGCCGCCGCTGCCGGCCCCATAACGGTGCCCCGGGCGCAAGTTGCTGCGGTCCGGGCCGGGGCGCCCCGGGCCCGGGAGCCTGCGGCCGGGGCGGGCGCGAGGCCGCGCTGGGTGGGAGGAAGGACTGCTGGTAGGGCTTTAGGAGGCATCCCGAGGGCGGCAGACGTGGGGCTGAGCCCAGGCGAGCTCTGGGCGACGGACTCCGAGTAGCGGGTGGGAGGCTTCAAGACTGGGGGTGGTTGGGAAATTGGTGGCTGTGCAGGATATGGTGGGTTTTACTCCTACGCGGACTGTTTAAAATAGCTTGTCTTTGTTAATGCCGTTGATTAACAGACTTTCCCTCCTTTTTCTTTTCCTTCTCTTTACCACACCTTTTCGTTATGCTACACAGAGACCTAAAGGGCAAGGAAATAAAGGTGAGCTTGGCTTTTATTTATTTATTTATTTATTTCTCAGTGCTGCCTTGACGTTACAGTGTGAGGAGGATTTTGGTTTATTTTTGCTCTATTTTGTGTGTGTGTGGTTTTTTTCTTTCTTTCTTCTTTTTTTTTTTTTTTTTAGTGTAAGATTAGAGAAACATAACAGCTAAGTCGCGTGCTATCCAGAAAAAAACTTCGGTAGTTCCCTGCTTTGAAGCCAGTTTTATGGGAACCAAAGCGGTATTAGAGACAGTTTTCTTAGTGGTATTCCAGTTATGCAGCAATTATCGTGAATGTGGTGATATTGCTTTAGCTTTCCAGTTTATCCGTGTTATGTAACTGCTGCCACAAAAATTTCTGCATGTGTTTGTGGACAAGTATGTTTTGCAAGTGGACATTTTTGATTTGACATGTCAGGAATACTTTGGAACATGAAACTCACATGGTATTCTGTGTTGCATTCATGAAAATTGTTGTTAATCAGGGATTCAGTGTCGAAGTGAGTTGTAGGGAGGCAGATGGGAGAGGTCACAACTGAACAGGAGTGTCATCTTGCTGTATTGTAGTCCTGACTGCAAGGTATAACTCCTACTGTTTTACTGAGGGCTGAGAGGAAGCAATTTGTAAGGTTTCTACAAGGATGATGTGATTTACTCCTTAGTGAAAGTACTATTGGAAGTAGAGTGTTAAAAAAAACTCTTGTATTTATTAATATTGAACGATGTAGTCAGCTGACTGAAAGATCATACTGGTCATGTGACATTAGTAAGTATAGAACAGTAACTGTTTTCTTGGGATACAGCCAGTATAAATAGCATTACAGTCAATTATATATTTATAACTAACAGCTCTTGAAATTACTCTAGATGGAATGGTGCTTCCTGTTATTTCAGTAACAAAGTATAACTTAGAATAAAAAATCTGTAATGGCCATCTAGATGTAAGTTCAGTGTCATTATTGGTGCTCTGTAAATTCTTCTTACGGTTTTATTTATTATTGCAAATTTGATTAATTTGAAAAGTAATAGGTTCTGTATGCACAGATTAATTTCCTGTCTGTTGTAGTACACTTTATATAAGAATTTGTATGTACCAGATATTTGGCACTCTGTAAGATACTAAATTTATTACTTTTGACTAAATATGTTTTCTTGAACTGTATAAATATATAGAATTCTTATTTTTAGAATTTTATTTTATTTTTAGAATTATTTTCTGTGTTAAGCATATATACCTCTGAATTGGATATTGTTGGTTTATTTTAAGTGAAATTTTTAAAGTTTTGTAAAGTTCAAAAGAATGATCCAATAATTTCCTTTTTTGCTAGTCTGCCCATTAGGAAGTATGTAGACTTGGAGATAATGTGAAATCTGTGGTCATTATTGCCTAGCGTAAATTATTTTATCCTAGATCAATGGGGAGGTGGCACTTTGCAAGGCTATTTGAAATACTAAGTGTTTTGTGTTACCTGCTTTAAGGTAAGTACACAAGTTCTATGAAGTACTTAATTTGTTTGATAAAACAGAATAGAGCATCTTATAGCATTGTAAACCAGTAGTATATTATTGTAAATTTGATTAATGACATGGTCATTTCACTTAGATATGTGCTAATAACATCTTTAATATTATGTTAACTGTAAAGTACATTATATGTTGAGCAATAGTATATACATTTTCTTGATTTTTTAAAAAAATTATCAGTATCACTTCTATTAGGTATATTTGGACATGCGAAGTATATTTATTTGATTAGCTCTTTATTCCAAGCAGTTTTTTTTTTCCCACGATACTGTTCAGTGCATAATTTATCCAAGGATAGGTTTGATGGATTGGGATTCCTTGGAGTCATGAGTTCTAATACTTCTGTGGCTACTTATTTACTAAGTGAACTTGGACACATTAATCCTTATTGTCAGAATTTTCCCTCTGTAAAGTAAAAGTGATAACTAACCATAAATCCTGCTGCATATAAAGATTGTATAATTAATTAACATAGTCTACTGCTTCAGGAGCCATTATATTTGCTGAATTTCTTTTCACCTTCCTCAGTCTGTTTTTAAGCTGTTGGGAAGACTTGCATGGAGTGTTGGTAGGGGGAAAAACACTGCTGGACTAAAAGTATTGATAATCATTTAAATTGCTTTGAAATGGTTGCTGCTGGCACATGCTGCACAAATACACATATGTTACAAGGCAAAGGCATCACTGATACAGATTGCCGTGTCTGTTTTTGATAAAAACTTGCTTGTCTAGCTGACTTCATTTTCAAGCTAGTAAAATTGCATTGTGATTGTTATGCTTACTTTTATCAACCAAGAAACAAAGTTACTTTTACTTTTGAACTAGAACTTCAGTGTTCTAACAATACGAGTAAATCTTGAGTTTGGAACATAGCAAGTTTATGAAAAATAGATATCTATGAGAAGTTCATGTCATTTAAAGTTTTGAATGCATAATCCTTTTAGTTGGCTTAGTGTAATTTCAGAGATGCTTTTTTTTTTTTTCTGAATTTTCAGTTGACAGCATTGGCCCAACACTTGGCTTTAAAGTCTTTGATTTTCTGCTAAGTGTTTCTCTGTACATCCTTAATGTCTTAGTGCACTAAAGGAGCTAAAGGAAATTCGTTATCAGTTTCTTTGTTAAGGTAGAAATGCTTTTGTCATATAAATAATAATTCTAGATTTACTTGTTCAGTAATTTTAAATCTTTTTCTAATTAATAGTTTATCCCAATATTAGATATCAGAACTCTTCTTTATTCTTTGCTAGGGTGGTACCAAAGAATAGTAAAATTTTAAGGATGCTACTTACCTTATTAATCTATGATTTAATGCTGACTTCTGATTACTATATTTATTTATGTATTAACAAGTAGAATTTTTGCTTGCTGGACTAAAGTGTGCTGTGCCTTTACGTGTGATCACTCCAGATGACATACTTGTAGCACTAGGCTTTACTGTCCCTCTTCTACTATCCCTTAGTCTTATAGATGGGCAGATTATATGGAAAAGAAGTTATCTTTTCCCTCCTCTTTTCCCTCTTTCCCTTCTGAAAGAGGGACATGTGCATCATTTTATACATTTAAAAGCAGATATGGCTAAGTTTCAGTGTTTCAGGAAAGTAGTGGGAAATGCCTTATATTTTGGCAGTGTTCTGTTATTTCCTCTCCCTCTCCTTCCCAGAAATGATTTCAAAGCACTTTTACTGTCATTATTTTAGGCTTCATTTTATTATTAATCCTCAAAACATTCCTTTAAGGAGATAGAGGGTATATGGTATTGTCGCTGTTTTTGTAGGTGGGGAAACATGATGCACAGATCTGTTGACTTTCCTAACTTGATGTAGTCAGGACCAGAGCAAAGAATCACCTGACTCCTAAGGCCCATGTTCTATCTTGATTTGACTCTGCTTCATAGAGCAGAGGAAACAGGCGAAGAATCATGTAAGTCATCCGTTCTTTTTTCCCCTGAAGAATTTTACAGACTATGGAACTGGCTTGGATTGCATTACTATTTAGTAGCTTTCAATCTCCAAGACATCAGATTGTCATTAAGTAGTGTTTCAAAACTAAGTCTCTAAGACATTTGAATTTCTTGAAGACAACAGGTATGCTTCTGAAACTCAAAGGCTAGAACAACTACATACTGCATTTAATAAGTATATGAGAAAACTGAGTCTTTCTCAGGCTCAGCCTTTTAGAATTAGGAAGGAAAGAATAGAACAAGAAGTAATAGTAGCACAGTGATGTATTTGAATAAATTTACTGTCAATATGGATTACATTTCTGAGAATCTAATGGACATAAAATGTGCAGTTTTGAAATGATTCAAAATTAATATGTATTAAAGTTTGGTAGTGAAGAATTTTTTTCAAGAAATAATAGATGATGGAAAACTACCTTTGATAAAGGAATGTTAAAGCCATTGGTGAAGGAAAGCTAGCATGGCAGGCTTTATAATAAAAATAACCTAAGACACCCTCAGTAGTTAGTTTCTGGTGACTATTATGTATTTAAATTCTGCAGAATGTATTTAG